ATTTGGCCTTAGACTAAGAATAGCTAAGAGCATTATTATGACCTGGCCTTAGACTAAGAATAGCTAAGAGCGTTGTTATGATCTGGCCTTAGATTAAGAATAATTTAAGAGCACTATTGAAATAGTATCTGAATTGAATAAAATGTGTTGATATGAACTGAATAATATCAAAACTCTGAATGTCTGAAACGAACATTGTGTGCATGATATCAAAAGATTTGGTTATGAATTTAGATTCAGTTTATATGGATGTTCAACGCATTAGATATGCTTACTCAGCTTTACCGCTGAGCGTGTAGTGTGTTTGTTTTATTTGCTACACGCAGGTAAACAGAAAGATTAATGTGATCCTGACGGCAGATGGGGCGAGATTGTCGGGATGGATGTGACAAGTTTGAAATGATTTATGATATGTCAATATTAAGTTCGCTTCCGCAATATTGTTAAATACTCCGTACTGTATATGTTATGAAAAATATTATTGAGATTAATAAAGTGTGTTTGAAAAGTTTTAAATTTTACGATTACCAAGTTAAATACTTTAGTCCGAAAAGGGGCTGCAGACCTGGACGGATTAGGGTGTTACAAAGAAGATGAGCGAACGAAGAGTAGATAAGGTTCTTGTGGTTTAAATTAGTTTAGGTTTATTTAATGGTCCCAATCCAAAAAGGATTGGGTTTCGGACCCAAAATACCTGATTAAATGGTCATAACTTGAGTTCCATAACTCCGATTCGCGAGCCGTCTGAACCGACGCGATCACAAAAATATTTCCTACGAGATGACATAAAAGTTGGGCTTAAAATCCAAATTATAATTTTAACCCCTTTTTGGGCCCAATTCGAAATCAATTGCTCTAACAATTTAATTAATTCTTTTGGGCCAGGTTTCGGGGCGTTACATTTTTTTCAACTTATTATTTATTGTATTTAAAATCAAATGAAACCCGATAAAAAAATATTAAACATAATTACAATAGGATGATGCCAACCAAACCAGATCAAATCAGACATAAAATGTGCATGAATCAGAAAGTTGATCTACTTGCCAAGAATCGAATGGTTGGGCAAAAATATAAGATTCTAAATTTTCTGTATCTCTTTTCTTAGACCTTATTTGAGAACAACGTTTTTTATTAGCGTTAACATTTTAGATAAAATTTTCATAGTGTAGATTAGCGTTCCAAAACCGCTAATGGCTATTATCAGATATTATTTTCAAAACAATAATGCTAATTTCTAACGTTGATGCCGAACGGGTTTTAATTTAAACCCAAAATTAAGAGGCTTATGTATAAAGCATATGGGAAAAAAAATACAAAAAACACGTGTTATAAAAAAACTAGAACCCGGTTCCATGGCCACTGGATTCCAGTGGCCACGGAAGCCACTGTCTCCCTAGCTCTGTTCATAAAATTGATAATTACTACCCCTTTAACCCCCCGGTAAACCCCCTCGCCAAGTCCCGACCCAAACTAATCACCCCATCCTACGTCAATTGCACTTCGTAAGTATAATTGACTTTTAAGTCAAAAGTTTTGACTTTATACTTATGAAGTGCAATTGACGTAGGTGAGGTGATTAGTTTCGATCGGGACTTGGCAGGGGGGGTTAGGGGGGAGAAATCATCAATTTTATGAATGGAGTTCCGTAGGGGACAGTGACTTCCGTGGCCACTGAAATCCAGTGGCCATGGAACCGGGCTCAAAAAAGTAATGCTTTCCTAAAAAAAGAAACTAAATGCTCCTTTAAATAACAAAAGTATTTGAGAACATTCGTACATTAAATCTCAATCAATTAAATGTTGAGATTATGACTTTCGGATAATAACACACAACTCTGAGTCATGGTCCACGAGCCGTGACAGATTGATAGCCTTTGTTGCTATTATGATCATAAAATTAACATATAAAATTATAATCTTTTTAGATACGTATTTTTTATAGGTTAATAATTGAATATCTTAATTTTACAAAGCTAATTACATAAAATTATTTTATGTGTGAATATCCCACAAAATAAATATAAACCTAAGAATCACCAAAAAAATTGGCAACAGATAATTCTTGGGTTTGAAATAGTTCGAAACTAGTGAAGTGAAGCACACAAATTCTTTTTTCCTTCGAGTTTCTTTTTGATTCTTTCAATTTCTTTCAATTCTCTTTAGTTTCTTTTAACTTATTCTAGTTTTTTCCATTAACGATTAAAAAAGTATTTACATATAATGAATATATAATAACACCATACATAAAATTTATAATGCCATCACATGTTATAAAGAGAGTATTAAGAGTGCATTGAGTTATTGAAAAAATACCAGTACTAAATTAGAAAGAAAAATTGATATAAATACTTCTAAAAATTTGAAATTTTACAATAATACTTTCAAATTCAATAAAAGACTCTGGTGCTACCAATTAAACTATAAGTTTACATTACTACTCCCACTATCTCTAATCAGCTTTTCTTATGCTTACATGTAAGTAATTATGTTTAGTTGACATCTTAGTTGTTGTTTTTTGTTTTAATAAGAGGAAAAAATTATATAAATACTCATAAAAATTCAAATTTTATTTACTTTGCTTATCTATTTTAATTATGTATTTGATAAAATAATATAATTATATCATTACTAGTTTTATAGATCTTATAATGTAGTTTTTAGATACTCCCTCCGTTCTATAATGATCTTCCCAGTTCGCAAAACGAAGAAAAATCTCAAGTTTTTTCAATCTATTTTATTTAAATATTGGTATATAAATAAAAAATAAAACATACATATTTAAAAACTACTCCAAAAGTTCAACAAAACAAGTGGTGACAAGAATATTTTATTTTATCATATAGGCCATGAAAAAACATAAATAAATATAAATTCTCATGAAGTTGGAATAGTGCTCTGGGAAGATCATTATAGGACGGAGGGAGTATATAATTTTATTTTTTGATTTCACACCACTTTTATTAAACATCATAACACGTAAAAGGAAGATATTTTTTAGAGTACTGGAATCTTTATTTGGTTTTGAGAGATTATTGTAAAATTTTGAATTTCAGAGAGTATTTATACAATTGTTTTCTTTTATTAAAACAAAAAGAACAAGTTAGATGTCAACTAAGCATAATTACTTACATGTAAGCATAAGAAAATCTGATTAGGAATAGTGGGAGTAGCAATGTAAACTTATAGTTTAATTGGGAGCACCAGAGTCTTTTATTAAATTTGAGAGTATTATTGTAAAATTTCAAATTTCTGAGAGTATTTATATCAATTTTTCCAATTAGAAATGAAAAACATATATTACAATCTTTGCTAAAATCATTTATATAATCTTTTAATTTCTATTTTTAAAATCACAACATAAAAGCTAAAACAATTTATCAAAGTCTTAGATTTGTACTTTTAATGTAATAAAAGTCAATATTATTCTCAAACACCTAAAATCCATTGTCGTTCAACTTTGGCCTTTTTTTATATCTCAAAAATTTCAAGTAAAATGTGAACAAAGTTTAGTAAAGTTTACTTTTACATTTTCAAAGAAAGGAATAATACAGTCACATGTGGACCATATTCACACGGTCAAGTCGTCAATTGTTCATGCCGAAATTCCAATTTTACCCTCCTTCCTTTACCCTGCCACTCTTCTCAGTCATCATCATCCTACTCTCACACTCCTCCATTATCAATCTCTCTCGAGAACTCAAAAACTGTCCATTTCTGGTTCCAAAACAATGAGCGGATTAAGAAGGTATCAGTTGACGGAGGAGCTTTCCCCTTCCTTCTTCCTGAAGGGTTCTCCGCTTCTGGCTCCCAAGACCTTCCCGCTGAACCCATGGCGGTTCCCGGCGGTTCCCGCCGAAGACGAGCTCGAAATCGCTCTTGATTTGCTTTCTCCGAGCGTATTTCACGGAGCATTCTCAGATCTCAGCTCCCCGTTTGACGAATTCGGGGCTGTGACCGATTTGATTCAGATCGAGAGGACCCCGTTCTACAGCTCGGCTAAACGGGTCCAGCGATTCGGGCCGGAGCGTTACCACTTGCAGAGGCTCTGCGACAGGGTGTCTGCTTTAGAGCTGGGGTTTGACCGATTGCTCAAGGAGGAGGCGGAGAAGAGGGCTGCGAAGAAGAAGTCGAGAATCGGGGAGCGGAAGTACACGTGGACGGCGGAGATCAAGACCCCCCATGAAGACGGGCTGGACCGGACTTACAAGTGGGTTGCAGAGGTTAAGGACGGGAAGAAGGGGGCGACAGAGAAGAGCTACAAGCTGACTACTCAGATCAAGGGGAAAGGGAATGACTCCCCCATCTCGCGGTCCTACAGTTTTAAGACTTCCTCCATTGATCCAGGGGAGGGTGTTGCTGCTGAGAAGAGTGTGAAGAAGAAGAAGAAGGAAGAAGAAAAGAACAAGAAGAAGAAACCCGAAGTGAACTCTCCGTGCTTGGTTGAGATTGAAGAAGAGCCCTCCAATCATGGCGCCATCATCCTGAAACAGGTCTGTGATTTAACATCTTTATTATGTTTTCGTGATCGTGAATTGATGATTCGTTTGCAGTCTTTTGTTAATTGTGTTTAACGTAGTGAAGAACATTGTTAGTCCGGCTCTTATTAGTCTTATCAGGGCCAGTTTTGATAAATAATGTGATCGTTTCGGGAGATGCATTTCATCTGTTGTTGGTTGGATGGTTACTTGTTGCGTTGTGATAGGCGTATGCAAAGAGGATGGAGAAGAAACAGGGAAAGAGGAAGGAGTTGTCCCCGCAAGATGCTGCCATGATCATACAAATGACCTTTAAGGCTTATCTTGTAAGGAGGTCAAAGGCGTTCCGTGCCCATCGCGACTTGGCCATTGCTAAAGCCAAGTTGAAGGAACTCAGGGCGATGTTCAGCAACTTCTCATACAGGCGACTTCTGGCTCGTGATGCAGAGGAGCGACAAAAATTTTCTGAGAAGATCATTGTGCTCCTTCTCACCATTGATGCCATTGAGGTAATATTTCATTGTAATAGCGAGGTAACATTTCATTGTAATAGTTACATTTACTTTGTTTTCACCCTCAACTTACGACACATGTTTGATTGCCTTAAGATCATTTCTTTTCACGGTTATTACAATAATACAATGCGTTGAATGTATCACGGAGCATTGTTTTTTGCTAGTCATCTCCATGTTGTGAGTCACAAAACAATACAAAGTCTAACAATGACTAGTGTCTAGTTGATAGAGATATATTTCATTTGTGCTCTTTTGGTATTCTTATCTGCAACATTTGTAGTAGAAAATGTGGCACATGAAGGAAAAAGTGCATATTCAAACACATGTCCATCGCAATTGGAGCTAAGAGTTTCATCTTTAACAATGTTTTAGCTTCGGGTTGTTAATAGACTATATCAATATTGCACATTAAACTTCCCATTTGATACCTTAGCCAGGGAAAGCCACTAAACAAATATGCATGACATCATGGGTTTTTTTGTTTAGGAAAAAGCTTCAATCTGTTGTATTACTCTGTTTTCAAGTACTGTGATTAATTGATTAGTGTTTGCCCTGATAGGGTGCTGATATGTTGGTGCGATCCACGAAGAAGAGTATGTTGGACGAGCTTGAAGCGATGCTTGATGTGGTGGACCCCGCACAGCAGCAGCCGGCTGCTGCTGGCAGGAGTGCATCAATGAGGAGGAGAACATTTGACATGCCCGACAGCGCCATAACAAGGGAAGCTGCAGCTGGTGTGGCCAAAGTCGTCCAATTGCTCAACGAGTCAAATTGTTCCGAATCTTTGGGAGACTACTTGTGAGGGACCCGCTAATACGGGACCCCTCCCCCCTCACCCCTCACCCCCCACACCACCACGGTCGAATGCCCCCGGGTAGGATTTATATGGTGTTTTTTTTTTCTTTTGTCAATTGTCGCGGCTTATGGGGAGACTATGATCATCTGAACCTGCTTACTTATTTATGTGTTGTGGATTCTTTTTTTTTCCCCTTCCAGTTTCAACTTAACCTTGAGACATTTTATGTTTGATGCTTATGTTACCTTTTCTGTGTTGTTTTTAAAATGCAAACCATTGTCGTGTGTTAAATGTTGTGCACTTGAGACTCTTAGGGTTAATTTCAATCTAATGTTTGTGAATTTCTCCATCCATGAACACAACAATTGTCATCCCCATTCAGATTTATGAAACCAGTGAAAGCATTTGGTAACCCAGATTTCTAAAAGGGTGGAAAGCAAAATTGAAGAAGGTTAATTCAATTTTTTTATTTTATTATTAACAATTCATCATTATCATCATCATTATGTTTGTTATTATTCTTATTGTTATTATTATTACTTATTATTATAATTATAATTATTGCTGTTATTATATTACTATTAATATAATAATAATTATAAGTATTTGTTTATTTCTTAAATTATAATTTAATTTATTATTAGTATTTTATTTACGACTAAGACAATACTCATCTCACAAATTTCTTTATTTTAGCATTTATTCAAAACAAGCATATTATGAAATATATCAACTCCGTATGTACATTTGAGAACCAAATAGTGCTCATTAATCCCTCCTTTCAATAAAAAGGTTACAATTTCGATTTACGATGTTTGATGAAATTATTTTCAGTTAAGTTTATATGAACATTGACACACAATTTTAAATAAAAATTACGGAGTACATATTTAAAACTACATCAAATATTTTATAAAACAAAAGGGGACATAATAATTTTATTTTATCAAATAATGAAAAAATGTGATGATAAAAATATAGTTTGACAAGGGGAGTAATGTGAATATTTTTCTGGGACGAAGGGAGTATTAAATGCATATATATACATTTGGGAGTTTATTGCACCAATGCCTTTGTAGTTTAGTAAATCAACGAGAAAAATCATTTGATCAACTCTACGATGTAACCTCACTGCGACCAAACATGTAAGCTTTCATTTTATAGAGTAACAGTGATGCCACTGGACTTTAATGTTTTTGGCATTGTTGTTTCCTCGTATTAGCCCATCTCGTTTATTTTCCATTTATTTATTTATTTATTGAGTAATGCATTTAGGGTATAACTGAAGGGTGTTGCTTACTCTATCTCAAAAATGGCTATATCTACCCATTTTATTTAAATTTACTAAATTTATACCAATGTTAAAGTTTTGTTAATGGGTGTGCATTTAGCAAATTACTCTCTCATTTCCAAAAAAAACCCCAAGTTATTATACAAATTTTGATGTAAATTTTTAATAATTTTTATCCTTTAATTCAACACAATTTTTATTTATATTGATTTGAAAATAATTTCAATTAAACATCGTAAATCAAATAGAAGATTTATCTTGAGACGGAAAAATATATGAAAAAAGTGTGAATATAACCCTTTGAGTCTAAACATTTTTTGGGTAGATTTAGCAATAGGCCGAACACACTTCATTGTATTTTCACTATTCAAAAGGTTAAGTTTTACTATCATTTTTTGTATATTTTTATTGTGTGTTTGATAAAATAATAAAGTAATATTGCTTTGATAGATTTTGTTTATGTTGCTTTAATTAAATAAAGTTTATTTGTTTAATGTCATGCTAATTTATAAATAAATTAAATTTAAAATAAATTAATGGTAAACACAATGAGCAATATTTTTTTTACGGTGCAATGAGCAAAATTTTACTAGGGTATTTGGGAGGGAGGGAGGATTTTATTTTAGTCCGGAGTAGTCTCAAAAACTCCTTTCTCCTTTCTTTTTCTTGTCTCATGAAATTTTTCCATTTTATATTCAAAAATTACTTTTATCTTTATTAATTTTAACCTACATATCACATCATTTCTTTTTATTAATAATCTATCTATTATATCATATTTTTACCCATCACGTCAATGGTATTTTTGAAAAATCAACACAAAAATATTTCTCTCTTAATTTTTTTTTAAAATCAAAATAAGAACATTTTTGTGGGACGGAGGAAAGGAGCCATGCTAGGGGTACACAAAATTTTTGTGTACCCCATTTGTCCCCCACCCCCTTCTCCACCATTCATTTTTATCTACTTTTTATTTATTTATTTTTTTTTAAAATTTTTGCCCATTTTTATGGTAATGGAGGGGGTGGGGGACAAATGGGATACAGCTGTGTAACCCTATCATTTTTCTTTTTGAAGTTCCATGAATAGAAGAAGAAAAGAAAGAAGAAGAAGACTGAATTAAATAGGGATTGCCATTGAATGCTGAGCAACATGAATCAAGTTGCGGTTGATATTCCTCATCCAGTTCATACTTTCTTCAACAAGCCGTGTAACATAATACCGTCGCCTCTATCGCGTTCTCATCGCACAAGAAATCGATCTGCATTCAACAAAAACAACTGCTCCGCCCACCTTCGTTCTCCATTTCCAGGTTAAAATAATGATGTAATGGTTATACTAAAATTCATAATGGTTATTGTTTTGTTGGCCGCATTTGCTTGATTCGATGCTCTCGTCTCTCAATTTGGATTCATTTTTTTCTCCAGATAGAAAGACAGTTGATGAGCCGTCACTTGTGGAAGAGGTAAATACATTCCATTGATTTTGTTTTAATGTTTCAATCCCCTTCACCGATGTTTCCTTGTGTGAATTTCATGATCTTTGCACCCGAATGAATTGCACTACAAATACGATGGAATAACTGTTTGAATTTGATCTGAATCTGGTGTTTTATTGAATTAAATGGATAGATTGTGGTCTGCCAACTTGCTTAAATTCATACAATTTTACGCATTTATCGACACAACATTGTGCATCAAGCTATCTTTTGGTATTTTATTGACATTCTGGTTTGGACATGGAACAGAAAGCACATAGTGAAACGACATGCCCTTACAAAACTGGAAATATGGAACTACCAATTGCTTACTTTTATCGTGCTTAATGTGGTTATGTGTTTTTCTCTAGGATGCTGTTTCTGATGGCGGACAGTTACCAGCATTTCCACACATACGATCTCTTGGGAACTTTCCAAGGGAGGAGCTATTCGGAAAAGTTGTCATGGTCAGGTTCGATAAAATGGTCATACTCGATGGAATGAGGAAAAATCAGCCATTGCCAGCAAGTTCTTTTTCCACCATTAAGTACTTATATGAGTCTGGAGCAAAAGTGATTCTGGTCAGTAGCTGGAATGAGATTATAAATCCCATGCTTCATTCAAAAGCACACCTCTCTTCCGAATCTGTTGCAGGTGCGTCCTTTTACTCAACTGATTCAAGGGTCACGAGGGAAAATCAACTGTTACATGATCGGTTTGTCTTGCAGAATTCCTATCATCTATGCTTGAAGTTGAAGTAGTTACTGTGAAACTTGTTTGTGGATACATGCTTTTAGATATGGGAGATAGTACAACACCTCACATTTGCCTGCTTGAGAATCTTTTCCACTGCAAGGGGGAAAGAGCAAACAGCTCAAAGCTTTCCAAAGAACTCACATCTGGGGTTGATATAGTTATTAATGATGCCTTCTCTGAATCTCATAAAGTTCTTGCTTCAACAGTTGGTGTGGCTAGCTTTTGCTGTGCCCACATTGCTGGATTTTACTTTGACGAGGGCCTATGTAAGCTGAAGAAGATCATCAAGCCATTTGAAAGGCCCTATGTGGCTATTGTAATGTTTTATTCTCTATATGGAATTCAGAATAGGTGGATAGTTACGCTTTTATGTTATTCATACGGGTTCAACATTTTCCTTGTGCAGATCGGTGGAAGCAGTCTTGCAGAAAAAGCTGATGCTGTGCACTTATTAGCATCTATATGTGATGGGTTAGTCTTTGTTGGAAGTATGGCCTTTCAAATAATGCATGCACTAGGAATACCTGTTCCCTTGAAACTCGTAGAACATGGAGCATTAAACGAAGCGGTCAGGATAGTGAAGTCTGCAATATTAAGAAACATTCCACTTGGTCTTCCTCAAGATGTCTGGTGCATTAAAGAAAATTTTCCACATGAAATGGAGATGGTTTCTGTTCATTCTATCCCTGAAGGTAGCTCCATGAAGACTATGATTATCAATATTCATTTTGCACCAAATAAACATGTCAATATCTCACGTTTCATGAGCTTTTATTTTTCACATAAACATTAATGATGCACATATTATGACAGGAATCTGAAAAACCTAACAAAAAACTTACTAAATTACAATTTCATAATCATACTTATGATTCCAGGTTGGCAACCTGTTGATATTGGACCAGGATCATTGGAAAAAATGATTTCTTTGCTTTCAAAATGCAAGGTGCTTATCAATCTCTAAAAATGTGTTAACCGACCACATAAATATTGGTATCCTTCAATACATTTTGTAATCCACACTGTTCTAGTCACTTTACTAAAGCCTGTCATAGGTATAACACATTATATGGAAAGAAGCTTACTAGCCATTCCAAGGGATTGGAGAGGATGACATGCGTGTGATGCTTCATATTTGTTAGAATATAAAAACTTTCCTGGGCCACAACCAGAAGCTTGATTTTTTGGTTGAATCTGTTCCTTGACATGGTATAAAAGCAGGTCTGGTCCGGGTTCGATTCTTCCTGAATGTTTGGACGTGGGTTTAGTGATATGAGCTACCCGTTTGTGGTTTGGGTTGAGTTGGCTATAAGAGATTGAGATGTCACCGCCCATTGTGTGGCTAGCTATAAGAGATTGAGGTGTTAGACCCGTTTGTCCAAGGAAAACAAAGAGAAATACCACTAGCATATATAGAAGGGTGTAACCCTACCCATTGGCTTAAGCTTTTGGGTTAGAAAGTGGATCCCGACTTTATATGCAAGTGGTTAATTTACCCGACACTCCGCTCGTTGTTTTTGGCCCACCGGAATTTTAACATGGTATTAGAGCCTTCTTGACTAAGAGGTCACATGACCAATGTGAAAAGTGCTTCTGATAGTGGAGTGTTTCCATCCTAAACGGGCACGGTCTGCATGTAATGATTGCTGAGTATAGCAATTTTTTTTCTTTTTTGAGCATCTTAAATGTAATTACCTTGTTTGCCCTGCAAAATCCTTTCATGTTCATTAGAAGATCATGTGGATCGGTCCAGTGAGATTCAGCACCAACCTACTGGACAACGGCGGGACATTTAAATTGGCTGAAGCACTTGGTACTTCAAATACTTGTGATGTAACTTTTGTTGGGAACATGGATTTTGATGAATTACTGGAGAAATCAAAGTCCTTTTCAGATGATAATTTTCTGAAAAGTGCCACAGTTGTTTGGGAGGTTCTTAAAGGAGGAAAACTTCCAGGGCTCATGGCATTAGATAGAGTATGTTTCTGTAACACCATCTTTGAGTAGTTCAGCAAATCTGTGGTCTTCTGGTAGACATTTTTATCAAGAAATCATGTTCCGTGTATAGGTTTTCCATATACATAGTATATTTTACACACACACCCACACACCTCATCTTTCAATATTTAGACTAGGTTGTTAAAAATTTACAGTATTGCTTTATCACCCATAATCTAAAAACTCATTTTGTTTCTTTGAACTCTGTAGGAATATCCATTTCTGATAAACTGGAGTACAGCCTATGATGATCCCATGAGACCTCTGGCCGTCGATGTCGGAAGTGGTAATTATCATTTTGTTACTTGTGGTGGCTTAATTTAAAGTTACATACATAACTTTTTGCATAGTACCAAAAGTTTTTCCTGGTTATTGCATCTGCTTTCATGGATTTTTTTCTCATTAGATGGGAAATGCATGTGCATAGCTCTTACACATGTTATAGCGTTAAATTCTTATTTTTGAATATTATTGGTGATTAGGAAACATATTGAATCAATTTGTCAAAAGATTAGTTCCTTGTTAACTGTGATTGCCAAAAGTAGTGTTGTGTGGTTGGAATTGACAGGGAATGGCATGTTTTTGTTTGAGATGGCAAAGAGGAGAAAAGATATGAACTTTCTTGGGCTCGAAATAAACAGAAAGGTCATTTTATTTCATTAAAAAATTGATGCTCCACAAAGTGTATGTAGTTTAATATGACTTTCTTAACTTATTGTTGGGGTTTAACTCTCGTCTCAGCTGGTGGATCGTTGTTTAGATGTCACTTTTCAACTTGGTATCCACAATGTGTACGTAGCTTCGTCCTTTTAGCACTGCTTGATTTGATATATGACTAAATGGACATTATATTTTTTTTGAAGGTACTAAATGGACATTATAGTTTGGCTGTTTAGCATATTCTAATTACTACTATCATGCATTAATCTGGTTATCTTTGATGCGAATGATATAAAGAACTATATCGAATTAAATGGGGTGCGACTGCACGAGCTGTTGGGGGTCTTGTAATTTATAAATTAGACGACTTGGACTTGGTGTTTTGAATCAAACGGGTTCATTTTTTGTGCAACTAAGAATCAAGATCCAGAAGTGTAAGCTAGTAGCGAATAGTGGACTTATAAGTTATTGTTTTAATAAAATAGAGAGTACAACAGAAAGGAAGCCTCTTACATGATGATAATATCCAGTGCATCTCTTGTGAAAATCAAACATACTGTAGCTAAATAAAATTGAAAGGATACCTTTCCAATTTATACCACTAAGTGCACCAATGCAGAAGAGTGAAAGTACCTAAGTTCCGCCACCATTATTCTTATGGTTCAGCATGTAAGTGGCTCTGGAGTGGGGGAGTATAGGAGATGATTATCTACTTTGATTTTTCATCTATTAAAAATTAGCCATGCAATTATTGATTTAGATATGAAGAAGTATCTGCATTAATGCTTAATTAATAGTTTACCTTGCCTATAGGCACTTCATTGCAGCAAATGCAACGTCAACTTTTCAGTCTATCATATCCAGTTACCCAGGGGATCTGGTTCTTGTATCAATACAGGTAAGATCCTGCAAAAGCTAGTTGTACTTGCAAGTGTTGTTTTATGTACTGCAGTACTGCTCTTTTGTCGTTCCAGCTAGACACAGTTCTTTTAATTCATACACAATGACGTCGATGAGACACAAATGCAGATAAACTTTTGTTTAAGTTAAAATGAATACCAATATTTTTGGTACAATTTTATTTTTTCGTACTCCCTCTGTTTCAAAAAAGAGTTCCCATTATGGCTTTTGGAAAATTTAAGGGGAGTGTGACTTTCCAACTTTTTCCTTGGATGTGATGGATAAAAGTAGTATGTATGGGTAGATTAATTGTGGATGAAGATGAGGTGATAGGTAGTGTAATAATTAGTAGGGGTAAAAGTGACTTTTTAATAGAAAGTGGAAGTGTTTTCTGCATAGAGAAAAAAGTGAAAGGAGAATTATTTTGTCAAACGGAGGGAGTTATGAAGAGCAGGAATATTATGGATTTGAAACTTAGGATGTGACATTAGTACTCAATGTCCCTCCAATATGGGATATTATACCTTCAAAATTTACCTTCTCATGGATTTATCTCGTGTAAATCACCTATAGTAATCGTTATGGTTTCTCACCGAGCAAATTTTTTTTTGTGTGATCAGTGTCCGAATCCCGATTTCAACAGACCACAATACAGATGGAGAATGTTGCAGCGGTCATTAGTTGAAGCAGTAGCTGATATGCTAGTGTTTGGTGGGAAGGTACTAAACCATTTACGTGATCTATTCTCATATCTGTTTTCCGTTAATAATTGAAGCTATTATATTTATTACTCTATATGATGATGATAACTTCAACTGATGGAAATGCATGTTTGATTTTCTGTTTAACTTTGTAAGGTAAAACAAAATGTTAAAATGCCTTAGCTTTTTTTTTCTCTCACTTCCCTACCATTTTTGGGTTCCAATTTCCAAATATGGCCTTGATTGATATGCAGGTATTTCTCCAGTCTGATATTGAAGCTGTGGCTGTGAGAATGAAAGATGAATTCATGGGGCATGGCAAAGGAAAGCTCGCAGTTGTGGAGCATTCAGGGCAATGGCTGAAGGAAAATCCATTTGGAGTTGCATCAGATTGGGAAAAGCATGTTCTGGAACGCGGTGACCCCATGTATAGGCTTTTACTCTTTAAACTGGGAAGCTGAAATTGCTATGCTCTCTACACAGTTATACCTCACCTCTGGAGGTAACCACCTATTCTTGTCCTCCCCAATTTATAGTATCTTCTTTTGACTTTGCGTGTTTTTTAAAAGAGTGATAATCGTGTGGTTGAGATTTACGGAGTATTTAGGAAAGAGAAACAATATGAATGAAGATGAAAAGAAAAACAGAAAGGGGTATGAAAGATGTAGGAAAATTTTGGGACAAAAGAACGAAGAAAAAGAGGGCACGTATCAAATACGGTAAAGAAAAGAAAGCTTCTAAGTGTAACTTGAAACCAACTATTTAAGGAAGTTCTTAACATTTTTGAGTTAACTTTCATTTGTCTAGTGGGCTTTTTCTGATTGTAAATTCAGTTTCAAGCAGATTGTGTAAATATCATTGAATAGATACTAGTCTTGCATATTTAAACTTTTCACAATTCTCGTAGTAAGAGGATTTTATCAATCTTCGTGATTGAATCTGAGATTCATCTCATGTTTGTGCGTGTTTGTGTAAACCAGAAAAAGGGTGTATGGCAGCAAAGTTTGAATTATGACTGGTCACAAGCATGTAAGACGCTTGCAGTCGCCTTTCTGAAAGCCTTGGGAGCATTGATGATCTGTAAGGCGCGAACCATTTATACATTCTATGACCAAGAATCGGGAAATCAAGCACTCCATTCGCTGCCGAATTCTACTTATGAATGTTTTGATATGTACCTAATTCTGTACACACACCATGATATGAGTTCAAAGAGTAACCTATAAGAAAAGATGGTAGGAATACCCGGAACGTAGCTCTATCTGAACTTACCTCCTTCCTATCGGCTTCGGACCGAAGATGGATCTAGCATTACGCAATCTTTCTAAGAAAAATCATCGACTGACTGAGTGAAAGGACAAGGCATTTTGGTTGGCTTGGTGGAACTTTGCCTAGCCTACCAAGTGGATCAGGGAATTCATTGCCAATGCCATAGCCCATAGCCAGAGAGACAAAGTAGAAAATGCAGGGGGAATTCAGAACTGCACAGATATTTGAGGTATTTGTACTTGTGAAGTCTTGAGTGTAGCAATTGGTCAATAACAATATTGTGTTGCCTCTCTAGTCTCTACTCTTTTTTGCCCTTTAGACCCCAATCACCAATTACATAAGCTATGAGATTGAGATTTATGGAGAAGATAGAGAAACCTTACCCAATTGTGAAATTCTTTCGTTAAAAGTTACTCGTCTAATTTTGGGACGATCAAAAAAGTAAAAAAACGGCAAAATTTTGTATTTTCATGTTTATTTTAAATGCTTTAGTTAATGTTGATGGCAGGTGAAAGCGAACCACATTTGAGAATGAACATTGCATTATTTTAGAATAAATGTTTCAAAATGAACACTACATTGTTTTTGAATAAATATTATGCTAAACAGACTTCAGAATAGACACTAGTGTTGAAAATGAATATTCCGTTGATTCAAATTGAACATTTTAATGAATTAAAAATAAATATTTGCCGGATGGTATACATGCGTTTGACACTACGGTCTACGGATTACAATTGTCTATAAATTTATACATACAGGCGATAATTGTCTGTGAAGTTTGTATGTTCAATTGTTTGGGCATGTATATATTCACAAATGGTAGTCATCCGTGGTCGGTTTCTAGCATTTTTGAATTCTGTATTTTTTCGTAACTATTGTTTCAACGGTCACGTATCCAGGTTTCAATTTCTTAACTTTTAAAAGTATTACTCGTATTGTATTCATACTTTAAACTCTAATTAAAATTAGAGGAACTTACCTAAATAGCACTAAAACACAATGATTTTTCTTAAATAACATCATATATTTTTATTTTTTAATGCAGCATTTTTAGTCATTATCCATTAGTTATTATTCAAGTAAATGTTCACTAGTATTTCTTGTTCTAGACATTACTAAGTATAATTTAGAGAATAAAAAAGTTTAAGTCCTATATTAGGAAAATAACTTATGTTTTAGTGCTATTTTTTGTAAATATTTCTTAAAATTATTCCGAGATTTCTAAAGTCTTTAATTTCTTACTGAATTATTTATAAGTACGGAGTAATGGTTAAAACACATTAAACTGTATTTTTGGCGAAGCAAAAGAACAAAAAGCAAATTTGAAACACCGTAAACATCCTCTAAGGATAGCTTTTTTTTTAATTCTACTAATACAGAGTATTAATAAGCAAATAAACTAATCCTAAGATTATATTACTCCGTATTAATAATAACCATTTTATGATTAACACGGAGTACTTCGCAATAAAAAAACGAGTAATTTTCTTATATAAATGGGGAGTATATATGTGTATATATACTTAACGATGACGCTGTGCAACGTGGTTGATGAGAGCCAAAGCGTTGCTAGTGAGATGAGCAACATTGACGATTCTACCCCTCACGGCGGCCTTAACGCCGCCCCTCGACCGCTCTCCGGCAAAACCCTCCGTGCACGTGTCTTCGTCCGTCAGGGCGGCGCTAACCCAAGTCTCAATGTCATTCATCACGAGGCCGAAATCCCCACGGCGGCGGCCGCCGAGTTGCCGCATGTCGTCGAGAGACTCGCCGAGCTGGTCCACCGAGTCCCCGAGCTGCTCGACGCAGTCGCGCATGGCGCCCGTCTCCCGGCGCGTCAGGCCGCGGCGCCGGGCCATCCGGGTCAAGGCCGCCTCCGTTGACCTGGCGGTTTTGAGGGCCACGCTGAGAGCGGCGTGGGCTAGGAGCTCGGGGTCGGCTCGGATGGACTCGGCGCGGCTGGACAGGGACGTGAAGCAGAGGCGCGGGTACTCCGTCATATTGCAGGATTTTCTGATGAAGTCGGTGTCATCGGCTCCGGCGGAAGCCGAAGCCGATTGGACAGAAGAGGAAGAAGAAGAAGAAGAAGAAGTGAAGAGCAATGAGAAAGCAAGGAAATGGAAAATGAGAAGTGCTTTTGATGACATCTCTTTTACTCTAAGGATGGAATTGCCAATTCTCTCCCTTGAAACTAAAGAGAAATTTTGACTTGTGAGTCTTGAAACCCGTTGGTAGATTATTGGTATTTATAGTATGAGGAAATCAGGGGTTGTTTGTTGCTTCGGATTTTTGGCTTCATTTCTGAAATATTCTTTTTGTCCTGATTTAAATCATCTGTTTCGATATACGGTGTTTGGCTAGAGTTATTTTTAATATGATTTATTTGAGAGTTGAAGCGAAATTAAACAAAATAAATTTTACATTTTCAAAAATTAATTTACTTCGGTTTTAGTCTGGTTTATATTGGTTTTTTCAATGAATTTTGAATGTTTAAGCTGTTTTTTTAATTAGATTAGACACTTATATATCCCTTCGTCCATAAATAAAGTTCTCATTGCACGTTACGTAGTATGATGTTTGATTAAAATTATTTTCAAATCATTTTACATGAAAAATAAACTACATGAAAAGTACAAATCTAGAGGTGATGTGACTATATTATTTTATCAAATAGAACTTAAAAATAGGCCAATAGAGTGAATAAAGTTTGATCATGTGAATAGTGAACGCCAACTTTATTGTTTGACAGAGAAATTAAAATACATTTTTTAATCCTAATTTTAACTCGAGGGGGGAGCGTGAATAAATTGCGAATAATAGATTACATCAAACATATCTTAATTAATTAAATGTACTAACGTTGGTGAGAAATTGAACTGTTTTTTGTTAGATTAATTTGTTTTGGTTGGTCTTTTCAAACAGTTTTAACTAATTTCTAGATTGAAATCAGACACCAAGATATAAAATAAACATGATATTATTTTTATTAAAAAAATAGCCTCGAAATGATGGAAAAAAGGCACTCCGAATTGAATAAACCAAACACCACATCACTGTCTTGCTTTCAAAGCAAAAGGGTTTGAATTGTGATATCCTTTTATTTATTTACTCCCTCCGTCCTAAAATATCAAGTTTTTTCAATTCATTTTATTTACATATTGGTATTGAAATAAAAAATAAAATTTACATATAAAAAAACTACATAAAAAGATTTTCGAAATAAGAGGTGTCAAGAATATTTTATTTTATCAAATAACCAATGAAAACATAGAAATAAACAAAAATTCTCGCGGCTGGTGAAAAAGAAAACGTTGCAAATATTTTGGGACGGATGGAATATGTATTCATAAAACTTTTTTTCATAAAACTTTTTTTTCATTCATCTCAAAAAATCATTCTCGTTTATATTAAAAAATTATTTTTACTTTTTTTTAATTTTTAACTTATCTATTACATCACATTTTTCTATAATTAATTTATCAATCACATTTTACTTTTATTCATCATACATAAAGATATTTTTAGAAAATCAATATTAAAATACGGAGTACATTATTCTTAAATTCTTCAAAAGTAAAAAAGAGAATATTTTAAAAGTTGTTATCTTACGTGCTCGACTTGTCCATTGTCAATACAGCCAATACTCCGTACATGTTAACAGAAAAAGGGTAGGTGCCAAACATGAGATCCATTTTTTAGATAATGAAGTCAAGAAACTAACAAAACAAATATTTTTATTTACTAGCTATTACTTCCTCCGTCACAATTTATCGCTTATTTTAATTCATAACGTTTGACTCAAATTGTTTTAAAATTATTTTATAAGAAAAATATTGTAAAAGTAAAAAATAAAAGTTATATATTTAAAAACTACATCAAAAGATCTACAAAATTAGCGGTTATATGACTATATTATTTTATCAAATGACTAACAAAAATAGGAAAAGAAAGTGATTAAAATTTAACCCTATAAATAGTAAAAAACAATTTAATTTGAGACCGGAGGGAGTAAAAATAAATAATTGCAAAAAAAACCTTTATTGTTCACCTACATCTCCAATAGAACAAAGTGATCATTTGTTTGGAAATACTATTCTCAATAAACGTTATTAATTCATATTTTAGATAATATTTTAATGGTATATATTTACTTTAAAAATATTAAAATTAAATATTGTCATTTGAGGACATTTTTAAAACGCTAAAGCTTAACATTAACATCATAACGCCTAGTGATGTATGTATACGTAAAGAATTTTATAAGATGAATGAAGTACTCCATATTATGTAACACATTTTTTTCTTTCAAAAAAAATGCAAAGCATTTTTTAACCACAAGTAATGGTTAGAGTTTGCAAATAGAAATTAGTGAAAAAAGTCAAAAAAATAATTAATACCGGGTAAAAGTAAAACTTATTTAAAAATACCAAAGTATCGTCATGTGATTATAAAAAAAAATAGTAGTATCATGTGTATGTGAGAGAAGATATGGATAAACTTGGGATGAATCTTGAACTAGTGGAGCGTTGAAATTTAATTTAATTATTTTTTTAAAAAAATGAAGAGTTTCTTGAAGGTAAAAAAAAAGGAGGGGGGGGGGGG